CAGGCTATCGGTGCACCCCCGGCAGTCACAGCAGCTCCAGGACCCTGCCCAGGTGCTCCGGCTACAGGAGAGGTCTGCCTCCCTCTGCACTTACTGCTGCTTCTCGGAGGGGACAGAAGGCCTTCGTAGCTGAAGTGCGTCTGAAGTGTGTCACGGAGTGACAATTTCTGCTTTAAACACTTAAACTGAAGTGAACTTTTGCACATGTCTCCCCTTCCAGACAGTGGAGGAAGCTCTGTTTTTAGGTCAGTTTTTCACTCACCTGACTCCACGCCCCAGGTACAGACCCCTCTCAGGTAACCCTCTGGACAAATATGTTCATCTCGAAAGTACTGAGTTCACCTGCAGCCTTGGTTTAAGGCCTTGACATTTTTTAATAATATGCAAGAAACAAGGAGTTTTGAAAAGGGCAAAAGAGATTTATTGTATTATAATATTTCTATTTCACTAAAACTAAGGAAATGTCTAAAGTTTCTTAAAGGTCACCATCTGTCCATTTATTAGAGAAGCCCCCCTTCCTATTAAATAGACAGGTGAAATAGAAGAGATTTTCTAATTTCATAGAAACTGATTGTAAGACATGCATAGCGGTCACTTTTGCCGAGCAATTTGCTTAGATTTCAAACTAGGCAATGTCCAGATTAAGTGGGAGGACGTCTGTTAAGTTGCTGGGTGCTGGGCACAGGGCCTGGCCCCCACAGTGCTTGTGCCCTTCCCAGACGGGGTAAGAGACGGCGGGGAGGCTCGGGGGCCTGGGGTGCAGAGGAGGGCACGTAATGTATGTGCGGGGTGTGTGTGTGTGTGTGTGTGTGTGTGTGTGTGTGGGTGTGGGTGGGTGTCCGGGGTGGGAGAGATGCTCGTGCTGGGTTTTGGAGTCTGCTGGGGGAGGCAGAGGAGGTGCCCAGGCAGAGGACAGCGTGGACGAAGGTCCAGAAGGCAGGACGGAGAGCTCAGAGTGGCCCCATGCTTTCCAGTCCTGGCCAGACGGTCAGGGAAGCACACAGTGCGATGCGTCTGGAGGAGAGCGTGAGCACGAGCCATGAACGACAGGGTGCACGGCGTTTCATGGACATGACTTTCATAGACACGAGTGTGCTGGGCTGATTAGCTCAAAAAGGCCAGAAGACATTCGAGCGCGCTGGCTGAAACCCAGCATGTGGGGGAGGCAGGGAAAGGGGGAATCGGGGACGGGACAGCCTGTCCTCCCCACCCGGCCCTGCTGCTTCAGGGGCTGATCAAGGCACGGAAAACCGCAGCAATGGCTGTTCAGAGACCACCCACAGTGATGGATACTGGGGAGCCCCAGAGCCCCATTTTCCACAGTCCTAAGCTAACAAGAGTGGATGTTGATCTCCCGGGGCAGGACCCCCGGGATGGCTTGAAGGCACTCTGTCTGTCTTCCTGCCTGTCCTTGAGGGAACAGGGTGCAGGGACGAGGGTCCGAGTGTCCCAGCATGGAGCCCTGCCTGTGTGCACACTCTGCGTGCCCAGCTCTGACCTGGAGGGACACTGCGCTCCGGAGCAGCCAGGCTCTGAGAAACCATGTCCCCTTCATGGTGCCACAGCCCTGCCTTTCAGCACCCCATCTCCCTCAGGAGACCCCGAAAGGCAGCGGATTAGGCCCGGGTGGCGTGGGGAATGTTCGCAGGCAGAGTCCTTGTTAGCAGGCTCGAGGGGCGTGGGGAGTCCGCGCCTGGGTGGGGACGGGTCTGTCTTGCTGCTACACTTCTCTCCTGCAGCTGCACGGGACCGGGCGTGACTTCTGCCTGGCCGCCCAGGGCTCCTGTGTGCACGTTCTTGGTGAGACAGCCTAGCTTCGTCTGGCATATTCCCCGAGACAGGGCACACTATTTCCTGGAGGGGAAGCCCTTTGCCCCTGAACTGTTGGGGAGCCCGACAGGCCTCTGCCCCTCTGGCCCATCTCCCCTCAACACCCGAGGAACCTTCCCAAAGGGAACCTGTCCTCGTCACTCCTGATGAAGCTCGGCCATCTCGCCCTCATCCCACCCCTGGGCTGCCACACCTGCCATGCACTTCCGGCTCCTTGGACATACTCGCTGCCCATGACCTTGGCCTTGACGCCCACACTTTCCCCACCTGTAATGCTTTTGCCACCTTAAGATTCTCCAAAGCTCCACCTGTCTATAAACCACTCCCTGGCCTGCTACTGACTCAGGTCTGCGGTTTCATTGGAATATGACATCATTTGTCCCCAAAACATTGGCTGGGACTGCCATGCTGTGGCAGGACTTGGGCTGAACACTGGGCCTCGGGGGCAGAGATGACAGGCCTTGTAGTTCTCTGGCCCAGGTGGTGAGATGGTCGGCCTCCTGGGGGTCTCTCCCGGGGCTGTGAGTTCCTGGGGGCCAGCCTGCATCTGTCCTGCCAGATCCCAGCATCCCCACAGAGGGGGCTGGGAACACGGGGCCTGTGGATGGTGGACAGGTGGGGAGTATTGTGGGATCTTTTTCCTCACAGTACCCTAAATCTGTACCTGTGACACCCTAAAATCTGCTGGCCGTCACCTCCCTTGTCCAGGAAACTCTATTAATGTACCTCGGGCAGTCCGCTTATCCCCAGCACTTCATGAGCTCACGGCTGGGACACAGGCCAGCAGCACACCAACTCCTCTGCCCCCATGCAGACATGGCCGTGGCCCCTGACAGGAGCACACGAGCTGCGGGGTGTATCGGGGAGCACCCAAGTAAACACTCTGAGCCCCACTCCAACCTGCCACCTCCCCACTAGTGAGGACAGCCTCTCCTCCCCTCAGTGTGTCCCTGCTTGGAGCTGTGTGGAAGGGGCACGGGTTAGGGTCAGAGACCTGGGGCCTCTCTGGGCTCTGACAGTTACCAGCTGTGTCGCCTCAAGCAAGTCACGGTATCTCTGAACCTCAGTCTCTCTTTGGAAAATGGAGAAATAACCTCAGAGTGTGGCTGCCACCAAATAAGAGGGTGTATGAGCAGCAGAGGCCACCACGCGGGCTGCCCAGCCCCAGCCCTCCTCCCTCCAGCCACCCCAGGCATGCGTAAGAGCAGAGTTCACAGGTATCCAAACCCCCTGTGGCAGGGCCCCTCACCTGGCCGGCCCCCCTCGCGCAGGTGGCTTCCTGCGTCCTGGGCATGTCATTTAGCCGGAACTGACAGCCTCCCGCTGTAAAAAGGAAGGAAGGAAGGAAGGAAGGAAGGAAGGAAGGAAGGAAGGAAAAAGGAAGGAAGGAAGGAAGGAAGGAAGGAAGGAAGGAAGGAAGGAAGGGAGGAGGAAGGAAGGAAGGAAGGAAGGGAGGAAGGAGGAAGGAAGGAAGGAAGGGAGGAAGGAAGGAAGGAAGGAAGGAAGGAAGGAAGGAAGGGAGGAAGGAAGGAAGGAAGGAAGGAAGGAAGGAAGGAAGGGAGGAAGGAGGAAGGAAGGGAAAGGGAGGGGACGGAGGGAGGGAAGCGGGGTTCTGGGACACCCCACTCACTCACCACCATTTTTCCTAGGGGCCTCTCTTTTTTATTCAAGCCCAAAGTGTTCCTTGGCGAATTCCTACGAGCAGTGGGAAATGCCAGTGAGACAGAGCAAGGCAGGAACATCTGGGGAGAGCTTTGCAGGCAGGAGAACAGCACGTGCAAAGGCCCTGAGGCTTGTTCAGGGGCAGGAAGCCAGAGCACATGCTGGTGGGATGGGAGGAAGGTGGGCAGGAGCTGCTCCTACAGAGCCCCAAAGGCCATGGAAGGATCTGGACTAGATATGCAAGGCCATGGGGCCGTTGGAAGGCTCTGGTGGGGTTGAGGGGTGTGGGAGAGATGGGACCTGCCCAACTTCTGGGCTGAGGGCTTGGCCTGGAGGCACCACCTGACTCTGCTGATGCTTTATGTTAAGATGTGGGGCTTCTGCTCCAGGTTCTCCTGGGTGCCTCCTGCTGCTCCTGGAAAATCCAACATTCAGATAAAGACAGACTCAAAGTGGAAGAGCAGAGAGAAGGCGCCAGCTGATACTTCTCTTATAGTTTCCCCACTATTGTTCCCAACTCGCTGGCTGTCCCAGAACAATCTCCCTGGTGTCGGGGGCCTTTCCCGGCTCATTCATTCAGGGGAGGTGCAGACACGGCCCCTTTGGGTCAGCTCCCGTCAGGCAGGCCAGCGGAGCCCGCCTGTTCCTGCCGCGCTCGGCACAAAGCTGCGTCCGCCCCTCCAGAGAGCACCGCCCTCCCGGGGCCCAGGAGGGCCTCCAAGAGCCAGCTCAGGTGGAAGTGTCCCCAGCCCTCGCTGCCCGCCAAAGGCTCGGCCAGGCCCTTTGCAAAGGTCTTGTTGACGCCTGAAACGCGTTGAGGCAGATGAGCTTGCTGGCCCTGGTGAGACAGGGGTCGGGACTCTGGCTCTCTTCCGTCACCTCCTGAGCTTCCCCGAGTTCTGGCTGTAGAACCACATCCCTGGCAGATGGATGGACATGGCGGGAGGGTGAGGGGCCACCTCCTTGGGCACAGTGGTGCAGGGGGAGGGCTGTCTGTGGGGACAGTAGGCTCCTCGCTGGGCAGTGTTCAGAGACACGGTCTCACCGCCCACACATGTATGTTCACTGAAGAGCTGGTGGGGGCCCCTGGTGTCCCAGAGTGACCTAGGGGCCACACAGCCGTGAGGCACTGGCGTACCCCTCACTGCCCTGAGCCTTGGCTTCCTCATCTGTGAAACGGGCCATTTGCAGACAAGTGAGCCTCCCAGAGGAATTTCCTCCTGTGTGATCCCTGTCCCAGCTGGTCGGCCTTTTGTCCCCTAGCACACAGTCCTGGGCACCCACAGGCACCAAGGTCTGAGCTGAGCCATGCTGGGTACAAAGAGGACCCAGAGCGAGCCGCACCTTGGAGAAGCCCCCTGGCTGGAGGAGACAATAACAGATTAGTGTGCTAAGTGTTGAGGCAGGGGGGTGGGGACCCAGAGGCAGCTGCCCACCCAGCCTGCCTCGGGGAGGGCTTCCTGGAGGAGGTGACACTTGAGCTGAGTCTTCACATCAAATCGGAGTTTGTTTTTACTGATGATACTTATCCTAAATGCTTGTCTAGACCCCCTTGTTTCTCTCATCTTCCTGTTGCTGGCACTTTCTGTGCATGAGTGCCATGGAGAGGACCACATTCCGGGTTCATTTCCACTTTTCTCCCTCACAGCAGGGTCTAGAAATTGCCATCCGTCATCCATTCACCCCGTGTGTACTGCGTCCAGGTGTGGGAAAGCTCAGGATTGCCCCGGGGGACAGCCCTGATCTTAGTCACCTGACCACTGCCAATGCCCCCAGCCTACGTGTTGACACCTCTACTCCCGGCACGTGACCCTGACCCTGATGACCTCCAGCCCATCTCAGGGTCCTGCTCTGAGAGCTCTGACCCCTCCGTCCTGCAGGTGTTCGAGGAGGAGCACCACATCCTCTACCTGGACCACGGCGGCGTGATTGTGGCCATCAAGGACACCTCCATCCCCCTGAAGATCCTCAAGTAATGTCGCCAGGCCGGCACTGGGGCTCCTCTCCATACGTGGGAGCCTCTCAGAGCATCCCCAGAACGGCCTCCCCACGGGCCACAGGACAACCGGGGTTGGCGGCACCCCGCACACCCTCCCCAGGGGCCTCATAAAGACAGACTTTGTCCTGCCCTGGGGCACAAGCAAACAGGGAAAGACAACACAGCACGGGGGGAGGTCCCCCCCCAGCCGGGGGAGCAGGGAGGGCTTCCCAGAGGAGGTGACTTTTAAGCAGCAGCAGGAATTAGTTAAGTGGAGGGGCTGGGGCCAGGGTGACCCAGATGAGGAACCCAGCAGCTGTGCCCAGGCGGGAGTGGGTTGGCAGCAGTCTCAGACATCTGAAGGGCCTTGAGGGGAACTGAGGACAGGTAGGACCTCGGGACCCAGAAGGCAGAGCTGGGAAGCTGCCCGGAATGCAGTAGCACTTTAGTCTGAAGAAGAGCTTTGTACACTGCAAGATGGCAGCACAATACTGGTCCTGTCACTGGCCTGGCAGCCCCTGGGCCAGGCTCAAGCCGTGGGTGGGGCTGAGCCAGATGTTTCCAAAGCCCAGATATCCCTGCCATCCAGGGGGTGCGAAGTCTCTTTGTGGTGCCCAGATTACCACCCAGAGCACGGGGCCACAGCACTGCTGAGGAGATGCTGGCGCCACCTGGTGCTGGTGAGGTGGCTCTGCAGCCCCCTGCAGAGGGTGAGCTCGGGGGTGCAGCATTGGCCCAGATGCTGGGCTGGCCCAGGGATGGTCTCAGGGCCAGCTGCTGAGCCCAGCGGGCAGATAGTCCATGATGAGCGGAGCATCTACGCCTGCCCTGTGGACACTGACACTCCTTGTCTTGGCAGGTTCAGCGTGGATGAGGGCCTCACCTGGAGCACGCACAACTTCACCAGCACCTCGGTGTTTGTGGACGGGCTGCTGAGTGAGCCAGGGGACGAGACGCTGGTCATGACGTGAGTGCATGGGGCAGTGGTCCGAGCTGACTCCCCAGGTGGGCCGTGTTGGGGGCCCCTTTGGCCCTTACTGCTCCGAGGCAGGTTCAGACATGGGCCCCCAAACCCTCTTCACACCTGCCTCCTTGACCCAGGGCAGGACAAGGCTCCTCATGCCCCGAGTCACCTGGGAGGTGGCCACTCTGTGCCTGCACAGAAACATCCACCACCTGCCCAGGATCACCTGGCTGGTGAGGGACAGAGCCAAGGCTCAAGGGCCAGCTCTGGAGTTGGCAATTGGTAACATGGGTATTATTACCTGCTCAGCCACATGGCACAGATGAGGACCTGAGACCCAGGTGGGCCAGCAAGGAGCAGAGCTGGCTGTGAGCCACCATCACCCCGGCCTGTGGGCTGAGGCTCAGCACCACCCTGCCCAGCTCCCTTCTCCACCACCAGCATGTGCCAAGCCCCACCCACGGCCAAGAGCAGCATGAGACCCGTGAGGGGCATAGGGCATCAAGACTCCTGCTGTTCAGAGCCACTGTGCTCAGGAGCGGAGACCCAGAGGACGACAGGGAACATGCCTGTGGCCACGTGGGGAAGGAAAGGGGCTCCCTCAGAAGCCGATGAAGTGGAGGCCCAGCTGGTTGCTTTCGTCCTGTGTATTCCCACTGCGTGGGGACTCGTCAGAGGCAGAGCAGGTGCACAGGCTGGGGCGGCCCGAGATTCTGCATTCCTAACAGCTGCAGCCATGCCCACTGCCAGGCGTCCCCGGTGCACAGCTCCTGTGTGCTCTTCCTGCCTCTTATCAGTAATGCCTGTGTCTCCCAAAATTAATGTCTACTGTGACCTCATTTGTGACCTCGTCTGGGAATAGGATCATTGCAGATGCAATCAGGTTGAGGTCGGGTCCTAATGCAATGATTCGTGCCCTTCTAAGAAGAGGAGAGGACACAGAGACACAGACACAGAGGAGACCGTGTGAGACGGAGGCAGAGACTGGAGTGATGCAGCCACAAGCCAAGGATGCCTGGAGCCGCCAGAGCTGGAAGAGGCGGGAAGGAGCCTCCCCTGGAGCCTCCAGAGGAAGCATGGTCCTCTGACCCCGGGTTTTAGGACTCAGGCCTCCACACATAAAGAATGCATTTCTGCTGTTTGAAGCCACCAGCTTTGGTGATGTGCACAGCAGTCCCAGAAACTAGGACGATGCCCTATGAGTCCTCCCTGTGAAACTGCTCCACAGTGGGGTGGACCCTGTACTCTGGACACTGTGTTCTCTGCTTCGTCCATCCAGGGGCACACAGGCCTGGCCCAGCTGCTCCCCAAGAGTGGCCGGGCAGCGTGACCCCTCAACCTCGCCTGCTTGGCCTGGTGTGGCCGTGGGCTAGTTCATTGGCGAGTTCACACGCCTGCCTTTGCCCTTCCTGCTGGCAATGGGCCTTTGAGCCCGAGACCCTGTCCAGCTCTCCTGTCAGCCGGGAGGGCCCAAGAGAGGCCATATGGACATAAGCCCTGAGAGTGCCTGAGCCCAGCCCAGCGCTCCCTCTGCACCCTGCAGACCCCTCAACAGGCACGCAAAGCTGCCAGGAGGCCGTGCGGGGCAGCCCCGGGCAGTGCGGGGCAGGCCTGGTTTTGAGAGTGCCCCGCCGTCCTGAACTGTGCAGTGTGGCGGGAGTGAGGGTGACATTTGAGTCCAGCTCTGCTTCCCCTCTGGAACCTCGGGTGGGTGGCATGTTATTCCCAAGAAGGCAAGGGTCTGCCGCTTCATGGATCTAACTGGGCCTTCAGCTCACGTCATGGTTGGCGTCCCCTGCCACCGGGCGCAGTATTAAATGTGTGCCGGCACGTCCTCATCAGGGCCCGGGACCTCTGTGCTCCTTCCCCAACCACAATTTGAGGTGCCTCCCCTTGGGGTGCCCTCATCTGGCTGTACTGGACCCTCTGTCCCCAAGTCCTCCCTATGCCTTTACCACCGTGGCCCTTTGCGAGGGGCTGCGGCGAAGCTTTCCTGAGCGCCTGCTGCATGCTGTGGGCCGTTTTGTACTATCTCATCCTGCTCGCCAGGAAGGAGGCACCCCCCCATTTTTAGAGGGTCTCAAATGCTGCCCCAGGGGAGTGGTGGGAAGACGGCCCAGCCAGAGGCAGGGGTGGGGACCCCGAGACCCTGTCCTGTGAAGACCGGGTGGGCATTGCCACCCTCTCAGCCTCTGTGTCTCCTCCGGTGTCTGGGGTTTCCCGACACGCTCAGTTCCTGCTTCGCCCTGGCCGCGGGCCCCTCACGTCGCCCCGACTGTACACCGTGTGTGTGGGCGCACGTGAGTGCAGGAAGCTCCTACTGTGTGCCGGGCACCCTGCCCAAACCATCACTCATCCGACATCAACCCCGAAAGGCCAGTCTTACTGTCCCCATTTTAAAGCCAAGGAAACTGAGGTATGGAGGAGAAATGGGCCTGCCCAAGGCCACAGTGTAGTAAATGGGGCACCAACCAAGGCCTGCTCGGCTCAGAGGTGCCCTGTGGCGCCAAACCTCTTCAAAGACCAGCCTGAGACATTCAGAACTGGCCGTCATGTCCCCAAGAATGCGCTCCAAGCCCTTTCTCAACACCGCCCTAGAACGGGGTTTCAGTCCTTGATCGTTACGGGCCTCCTGCAAGTACCCAGCCCCTGCTGGAGGTGCTCAGACGGGACCAGGACCAGAGCAGAGTGCATCCCCTCCTCCATCCACATGCGTGACCTCGGGTGACACGGCCAGAGCGCTGCAAGCTGGACTGGGGAAAGACCATGAAGGGCACGCTGGGCCCCTCTTCTGGAGTCTTCTTTGGAGCCCACGTGAGGCGTTGGGGAGGAGGGATCAAGTGGAAGCCACCAGACAGCAGGACTCCCAGAGGGGGAAGGATCTGGGCATAGGACAGGCTCTCGGTGGCTGCTGGCTGCCTGCCAAGGAGGGGCAGGGACAGCACAAACAAGCTGTGTGACCTCGGCCAAGTTACCCAACCTCTCTGTGCCTCGGGTTTTTCTTTATGTAAGACGGGGGTGGACTCACCTCACCAGGCTGTGTATGCGGGTCTCCCAGCACACCGTGCGTGGTCCCTAAACGGCTGGTGTCCCTCCTCTGTGTTGTCCTGCTGCCTCCACCCGCCCAGGCTGGAAGCGCTGGGCTGAGCCGGGCGGGCCGACTCACTCTCTCTCTGGATTGCCGGTTCTGCTGGGGAAGGAACGGCCTGTGGCCCCACTGTAGAAAGCTGGGTTCTGCAGCACGGAGCCCTCACACGGTCAGGCTGATGGAGGCTGGGAGAAAGGCAGGAAGAAGCTGGACAGCACCAGACTCGGCCGCCTGACCACGAATCGTTCTGCAAAACATAACGCCAGCACCAGCATGGGGGCCACGGGAGGGCCCAGTGGCGGCCAGGAGGCCAGGTCCTGACCCTGCTGCGGGCCTGCTTCCCCGCCCATCGTCAAGCAGGGGGCCGTGCGGGCAGGGGGTGCATGTGGGGTCGGATGCAATGACCCAGGCTGATGCAGTTGACAAGCCGTCGATAACCAGTGGCGGTTGTGGGGATACTAACACCAAGGTCCACCAAGCGCCTGCGGAAGGCCAGGCACAGTGCCCCGTGCTCCGTCCTACTCCCCAGCAAGGGCAGGGAGCTATCGCTGTGCCCATTGTACAGGTGGGAGCTGGGTCCTGAGGGAAGGTCGTTTGCACAGCAGGACGGAGCCACACTAAGGTGGTTTTCCCTCCCCTCCTTCCTCTTTGTGCCCCAGGATCTTCGGACACATCAGCTTCCGCTCCGACTGGGAGCTCGTCAAGGTGGACTTCCGGCCCCCGTTCTCCAGGCAGTGTGGCGAGGAAGACTACAGCTCCTGGGACCTCACCGACCTTCAGGTGGGGCTGGGATGCAGTTGAGATGGGGCAGGCTGGGCACAGATGCGGGCCCGCCTGTGCCTGCCAAAGTCCTCCCGGGCAAGGCCACAGGGGACCTCTCCTCCTCCAAGAAGTCCTCATAGCACCCCCAGCCACCTTCAGATCTCCAAGAAAATCTCTGTGGGATTTTCTTGACCTTGGGCTGCTCTGGGCTGAGGGTCCTCAGTCACACTCAAGGGGCTGCAGGGCCACAGGCCCTACCCAGCCTATGCAGTCAAAGGTGCTTGGGATTCAGGATTTTTCAGATCTCAGGAAGGTCACATGCATGTACCGTATATGACAGTGGGGTCTGGGCAGGCCCTGTCCTGTAATCTCAAACACATAAACATTTCTACAGCAAATGCCTCTCACTTCGGTTCCCATCAGGTTGTGCTGCCAAAGGCGTGATGGGAAGCCTGGGATTGCAGAGCGGGGCGGCCTGGAATTGTGGGGGAGGGGACTATTAAAGCAAAAATTAGTCAGCGACACTTGTTAAAACACAGTAAGGAAGACTTTACAGGAAAGGTACAGGGACCGCTGCAATGGGGTCTTGCAATAGGGGAGAGAGACTGGGCTCAACTCTGCATACAGCCGGGCACGTGGGAATTTATAGCCAGGGAGCAGGGTGGGGTCAGTGGACGGAAAATTACTAAGAAAAAGCATCGGGGTAGGGGGGATTCTGGCTAAAGTGACCTAAACAGGGTTCTTGCTGAATACAAGCCGGGGTGACCAGACATCACCCGGGGGGATAGTGGAGAAGGAACTCGATCAGATATGGAGGGTGCTGAGATATCGAGGGCGGGGGGATTCTGGCTAAACTACCTTAGCAGAGTCCTTTGCTAAATCTGGATTTCACAAGGAAGTGGGCAGTTGGCCTAGGAGAAGGTTCTGGAGCCTGACTCAGTCCGGCCAAGCAGAGAATCGGGGTCACCCTGCACCTGACAGGCCACAGCACCTGCTGCCGGGAGCAGGGTGGGGCCTGGTCTGATCGTTCCCTGAGGACCTACTGTGTGTCCACAGCTCCTGCTCAGGGCTGGCACCCTCAGGGCCTGAGGGGACAGAGGAGACAGAGGAGACAGAGGGGAACTTAAAGGACCCGCGTTTCCAGCAGCTTTGTGGCCCCTCAGGGCCTAGCCAGGGCTTGTACGCAGTAGGTGCTCAGCGAATGCTTGTGGGTTGGGATGAGAGGGATGCTGCCCCGACTTGACCTCACACATGCTACTTCCCCTTCTGAGCCTCAGTTTCCCCACCTGCAAAAGGGGACGAGCCCCCTGCCCCCTGCTGCTTGAAGAAGCAGCCGTTTTCAGGGACAGGCGAGAGCCCCAGGACAAGCCACCGCAGGGCGCTCGACCCTTCTCAGGCCGGCTCCTCCCCCTGCCGTTGCTGCTGCAGGGTGACCGCTGCATCATGGGCCAGCAAAGAAGTTTCCGGAAGAGAAAGCCCACGTCCTGGTGCGTCAACGGGAGGAGCTTCACGTCGGCGCTCGTGTCGCACGTGTGCGAGTGCCGGGACTCGGACTTCCTCTGGTGAGCGCCCGGCCCCTCGAGCCCAGGCGACGGCGGAGGCCGCGGGGCCTTTACAAGCCGACTCCAGCCCACACTTGGGGACGGAGCATTAATGAATTTGTGGGTGGATTTTTTAAACCCCCACAGTGGCCTGCTCACGGGAATGGGTCGGGGCATCTTGGGGGCAAGCCCTGCCCATCCACTGCCCCGTTCCGCTCGGAAGCCGCCTGTGGCCACCAGCTGCCCCCTGGCCCACCGCCTGCCTGCCCACCCCACCCCTCCCCGTCTGCTCCCCTCCTCTCCGCCTTACCACCTGCACCCCCTGCCTGCAGCGCCTCTCCCTCTCTTGCCCCAGCTCTCTCCTGCTTATCATTTGAAACGTGCTCACCTCCTCCAGGAAGCCCTCAGGCTCCTCTGGGTTCCCAATATCCCTTTGCATTCTTGTCACTCTGGAATGTAACTGTCAGCTTTCGGGTCTGTCTCCTGCTCTGGGACAGGGCTGTGTGGATTCGCCTCTGTGTCCCCACAGATGGGTGCATAGTAGGCCCTGGACTGAGGCTCTCCTCCCAGCCCCCCCGACCTCACCCCCACCCCAGCTGGCTCCATTCACACCTGTACCTGTCACCTGACTGCTCTTCTTTCCTCCTCCCAGTGACTATGGATTTGAGCGCTCCCCCTCCTCAGAGTCCGACACCAGCAAGTGCTCTGCCAACTTCTGGTTTAACCCACTGTCCCCTCCAGATGACTGTGCCCTGGGCCAGACCTACACCAGCAGCCTGGGGTGAGTGTGGGCTTGGGGCCCCTCCTTGCCTAACTCCAGGGCACAGCCGGGGTGCACCGTCGACCATGCCTTCCCGGCTGGTGCCTGCAGCTCCCACTTGGCGTTGGGGAGAATGGAGGTGTCGAGGCTGAGGACGCGTGTGCTCGTGAGCATGAAGCCTGTTTGCGGGCTCCTGTGAGCTCCCGGGCCGACAAGCCCACAGGTTCTCCCACCTCAGACTGCGTGGGCCAGCACTGGGGGGAGCTGCCTGGAGTTGGCTCTGAACTGAGGACAGTGACAGAATAGGTCCAAGGTGCCCTGGGGCTCACACCTGCTGCCGGGGCTAAGCCCACCCAGAGGAGAAACGCTCCTCCCCTAGGCCTCTTCAGGGCCCTGACCCCTCCCCCTCCCCATTTACCAACTCTTAGCGAGCCACATGGTTGTGTGCCCACCATGCCTGCAGGTCTCACCTTAAATGACTCCTCCTCCAGGAAGTCTTCCCTGACCCCCGGCGCCTGACCCCCAAGCTTACCTCTGTCATAGCACAAACCCGAGTTCCTGTCATTGCTCACTAAGCTGTCCTCCCTGTTGGACTGCAAGTGCCATGACACGTGGTAGGTGTTGCTTCAGTCTGGGGGTGATGAATACACATCACACAGGACGGGTGCCTGGCGGGGGTGAGCAGGAATGATACTTTTCCTCCACCAGAGGCCGAGCACTTTCCTTATAGCAGATCGACTTCCTATATAAAGATGCTAGTACGTAAGAGCTGTGAACCTGCAGCTTCCGGAGGTCCCAAACATGTTCCATCTGAAGGTCCCATTTCCCCATTTCCCTGTGAGGAAGTTTTCAGAGAGGGTGAAAAAGCTCATGGGCTTATTAGAAAATCCTCATTATGTCCCCTAGAGAAACTGAGAAAACAGGAGGCAGGACCAGAAACTGCAGGCTTTGGCCACAGCAGCTAATATCATGCCATGTACCCACCCATCCTCCATCCATCATTCATCCACCATCCACCCATCCATCCATACATCCACCCATCCATCCATCCACCCATCCATCCATCCATCCACCATCCACCCATCCATCTACCCATCCATCCATCCATCCACCCATCCATCTACCCATCCATCCATCCATCCACCCATCCATCTACCCATCCATCCATCCATCCACCCATCCATCTACTCCACCATCCATCCATCCACCCATCCATCTACCCATCCATCCATCCATCCATCCATCCATCTACCCATCCATCCATCCATCCACCCATCCATCCATCCACCCATCCATCTACCCATCCATCCATCCATCCATCCATCCATCCATCCATCCACCATCCATCCATCCACCCATCCATCTACCCATCCATCCATCCATCCACCCATCCATCCATCCATCCATCCACCATCCATCCATCCACCCATCCATCTACCCATCCATCCATCCATCCATCCAGCCATCCACCATCCATCCATCCACCCATCCACACCCATCCATCCACCCATCCATCCACCCATCCATCCACCCATCCATCCACCCATCCATCCACCCATCCATCCACCCATCCATCCACCCATCCACCCATCCACCCATCCATCCATCCATCCACCCATCCATCCACCCATCCATCCATCTACCCATCCATCCTACCATCCATCCATCCATCCACCATTCATCCATCCACCCATCCATCTACCCATCCATCCATCCATCCATCCACCATCCATCCATCGACCCATCCATCTCATCCATCCATCCACCCATCCATCCATCCATCCACCCATCCATCCATCCATCCACCCATCCATCCATCCATCCACCCATCCATCCATCCATCCACCCATCCATCCATCCATCCACCCATCCATCCATCCATCCACCCATCCATCCATCCATCCACCCATCCATCCATCCATCCACCCATCCATCCATCCATCCACCCATCCATCCATCCACCCATCCATCCATCCATCCATCCATCCATCCATCCATCCATCCATCCATCCATCCACTCATCCATCCATCCACCCATCCACCCATACATCCATCCACCCATCCATCCATCCACCCACCCATCCATCCATCCATCCATCCATCCATCCATCCACTCATCCATCCATCCACCCATCCATCCATCCATCCATCCACCGATCCATCTACCCGTCCATCCATCCATCCACCATCCATCCATCCACCCATCCATCTACCCATCCATCCACCCATCCACCCATCCACCGATCCATTCATCCATCCATCCATCCACCAATCCATCCATCCATCCACTCATCCATCCATCCACCCATCCATCCACCCACCCATCCACCTACCCATCCATCCATCCATCCATCCATCCACCCATCCATCCATCCATCCACCCATCCATCCATCCATCCACCCATCCATCCATCC